CCAACACTAGTAGACGTGAGAATGCTCACTATCTCATCTAAAACCAACAAAATAATAATAATAATCACATTTCTAACACATCACAATTTTCACATTCACACGAAGAAACATTTTTTTTGTTTAGAATCGAACGGCAATCAAAAGTAATCTAATTACTTAAAAAATCTAATTAAAATTTTTTTTTGTTAAAATTGTCTTAGACTGAGATAAAAAATGGTAAAATAAAAATAAATTCCTTCTGATCAAAAAGTGTATTTTTTAAACCTTAAAGGCCTGTATCAATATCTCAAACCGTTTTCGAGATTTTTAGTAAAAACCGAAAAAAAAACAAAAACATTAGCACCCAATATCTCGAAAACCAAATAATTTAGGACATACGTTTATACGAACTTTCCTATTTAGTCTACTAATCACCACTTGAAATAAGTATATAACATTAAATAATACCCTGTACCTATGTGTTTTATCTACCTACAGTTAGACCAATATTAACTTGAAACAAAAGTTTGTTTAATCGCTCTCTTGATTTTAGGCAAATGTAAAATCGACACCCCTAGAAGCTATGACATTTTCTGCGAAAATTTCTTTGCTATGGCTGCTGACAAAAAAATGGCGCACGCTACTGACCAACACCCACACAATGCGGTCGAGATACATTACCAGTGCCTGCCACGCGCCTTCATTAAACTCACTGTTCTATATTGCAAATAACCTGAAACTAACTAATAAAACCAAAACACCAACAGCGCAAATTAGAGACTAAAATTAATATAACTATTTTGGGGTGCACGAGCTGCTAACGTTTCATCCACATCGATTTCTGCTCAAAATCGCACTCAGGATTTCTGTCACACAAACCCAGTGCCGAGTCGGAGACATTAAATTAATGGTTTTGACGTTAGGGTTGAACGTGAACGAGGGTGTCAGAGGGACACAATCGAGAGCGATTAGAAACAAAACGTGTTTTTTAGCAACAAAGAACAGGTACCTTCAGGTTTCCATAATATGACTATTACAGGCTGATAAATAATAATAAATTTTAATAACCAAAATTTTTAATAAAGGAAAGTAATGCGTTAGCAATATTAAAAAAAAACTAAAACTACCATATAGTTTAGTAGTCTAGTCATTAGGTGTTCAAAAAGGTTGTTTTAAACATATTATTGAACAGTTTTTTTTATAATAATAAACTGGAGTAGGTGTAGCTTGGATGGGTGCTTGGGTTGTCAAAGGGTGAAAACCAGTTGTGACACGTCACACCAATTTATTAGGAAGCATTAAGATAAATGGATTCGCCCAACAGAGATCAAACCACGCAAAACTATGCATAGATGCAAAGGGGTGGCTTAGGGAGTCTAGAAATGGGTTGAAGAAATGGGACATCGACCAAATACACAGAATTTATCGAGGAGGTCTTATGTGTGCCGGAATGGAGTTTTTACCTGACAGTGTCCTTCTGAGTCCATCCTGTATGTCTCTGAAATTGCAGTCAAAATCTTGTGAATTCAAATTTCGATAAGAGAGTATCCTTTTGGGGTGTGGACGACGAACCATTTACGTCACAACGTAGCGCCTTCCGGACATTAAAACCAATTCTATAGGCTACCGAATATTAGAAATCGCAAATCTCTAACTCGAATAGAACGCAAATGGCGCTAATCTAAAAAGTGTTAATCTAAGTTTATTTGGATAAAATTTTTGACTACTTTAAAAAATTTGACTATTGATCGAGTTTGTTTTATAGGAAGTACTTCTATCACACTTTGTCACCAAAATTAGTTATTTCGTTTATTTTTTTTTTGCTTATTTGATAAATAATTATTATATCAACACGAACATTGAATAAATTATAAACAAATACTTTTTATTAGGCATGGCAGATTTCTCGCCCATTGTGGTGATACCGAAACCTTTATGGTGGCACTTCACTTGGCGTAGCGTATTTGTGTTTGAGTATCGTTGTATCTGTCCAAATATTTGATGTATTCGCAAATATTCCAAACATGCCACACATATATCAAAATACTCAAATATGCCAAATATGTTTGAATATTTAGAACCAGTGAATATAGTGACGGACGTGTTGACAGCTTACCTGGATGCTTCTTATAACCAATACATGTTAAATCTACATAAGTACAAAGTTACTAAAAGACCATGACGAACACGGCGCTGGTGGAACCAAGTGTGGAAGGTTACCGCAAATATTCGCCTTATTTGACTTCTTTGATGTGTGACTGAGAACCGACAAGTGGACGGAAACGCGTATTTGCTGTTAGCGCTATTCGCGTTATTTGTACAAATAAAGCAAATATAGCGAATAGCTTCTCCACACATCGCCGTTTTTGGGTAAATACAACAAATATGCGAATACGCCAAGTGAAGTGCCGCCATTAGACACTCCAAATCTACAAATCTTGTAATAAACCATCAGGACGCAACAATGGAAGGCATATATAAATGCGTACCTAAGGACAAATCTAGTTTTAACGGCTCCGATAAATCCCCTATATCTATTTATTATAAAATAAATACTGTTATTAGCAAGTTAACAACTAATTTTGGTGACAAAATATGATAAAAGTACTTATTATGCAACAAACTTCAATAGGCTACTACGATTTTGTTAAAATTTACTATTAATCTGCTTGTGCAATTATTATTAACTTGAAGTTTTCTACTTAAACCACATCTAAACCTAAATCAAAAAACCTCAAGAGACATTTTTTGTTAAGGAATAAATGACGATTGAAAAAATTGTATTAGAAAGCCAAAGGGACAGTGGCGTACATATGTTGTTCATAAAAATATTATAGTGACTACCCCCATGAACGCCCCTGTTTGTGGTGTAAAAAAAATGCCTTATGTCATGGTGTGTAAGTGACAGAAATTTAAAAATAAAATATTTGTGTACTCCACAGATTTTCGAAAAACAAAACGAAAAAAATAATAAAACTTTAACGCTCTGTATCTGAAAAACTAAGCCACTTAGGAAAAAACTTTATATGACCTTTTCTTCACGAAATCACTTGAGGAAGTATCTCCTTTAGTTTTTCAGACTACTTAGGAAACATGCTGTATACGAAATGTGTAAATTAAGTAATGAGATAACAACAAGCAACAGAGTAGCAACACAACAAGAGATAGCAACACTTCAGATACGGGACTTGGAAAAGCGGTAGATTAACATGTAATGCGTCTTCAGTACAAGTTTGAACTTGTTAGAGACATTTGTTTGTTCTTTGTGACTGTTTTCGTAAATCGTAAAAATGTTTTTTTTTCTACTGCATTTTAAAAATGAATGACATTAATTTTGAGCAACGGTGTGCTATCAGGTGTTGCTTCAGACTAGGACATGGCGCAACGGATAGTTTTGCAAAACTTCAACATGCCTACGGAGACGGTGTTTTTCAAGAGCCTAGGTTTTTCGGTGGTTTAAGGCATTCTCAGAAGGAAGAGAGTCAATTGAAGATTCCTTAAATTGAAGAAGGCCTTCATCTTCAAGAACTGATGAAAATGTCGATAGAATACGGGATCTTGTGCGTTCAGATCGTCGGTTGACGACAAGAATGATCGGAGAAAAGTTAACTTTGATTCACACCAATGTTCATCAGATTTTGAGTAACGAATTGGGGATGAGAAAACTCTGCGTAAAAATGGTTCCAAAAACCTTACGCAAGAACAAAAGGACATCAGGAGAGAAATGAGTCTTGACTTTTTGGAATCGATTGAAAATGACCCCCATTTTATGGAATGTATCATTACTGATGATGAAACTTGGGTGTTTGAGTACGACCCGGAAACCACGCGCCAAAGCATGGAATAGCACACATCAAGCTCTCCAATACCCAAAAAAGCAAAAATGAGCAAGTCTAAGGTCAAATGCATGCTGATTTGCTTTTTTTGATAGCCAAGGAATTGTCCACCAGGAGTTTGTCCCTCCAGGCCAAACAGTAAACCAACACTTTTACAGAGCGGTTCTTGAAAAACCTCGAAGAAGGGTCAGGCGTGTGAGACCAAACGTCAAGAACAACTAGATGTTGCATCACGACAATGCGCCTTGTCACACAGCCATTTCAGTAAACGAGAAGCCATTTCAAGAAGTTATTTTGAAGGAATGAATACTGAATTGTAATTCTATTCGAATAAAAAAAAATGAAAAATTCAGCCTCATTACTTAATTTACACACCTCGTACATACGTCAATAATGGTCATTCATTTGATGTCAGTAGAACTTTGATGACTTCTGTTAATCGGATAATTGGAAGCGTTATTTGCAGCATCTCAAGCAAATCACAGCCAGATGCGTGACACAATAAATGCGTACAATTACACGGTTACGCAGTAAGTCTGGGTGAAACTTGAACTTGATAAAACGTGGTAATAAGTAACTACATAGGAGCTGTTACTCTGCCCAGATCTCGGGTTGAGAATTAGCCTCACTTTCCATCGAGCTTTCAACACACTAAAATATATCGTGAAATTTATATTCTGGGTCTCCACTCTCTCCCGCATGCCCGTTAATTTACCTGTCTTGTTAATAACATTAACGTATATTAAGTGACTAACGCAATCATAAATTATCGTTTAATTAAGGAAATATTAAAAATGAGGGTGAGATAAGAAGGTACACATTCGCATATTTTACACTCAGTTTTTTGAAAGAGTCGACAATTTAATTAATAGTGGTCCTTACAATAAATTATCAAAAAATCCCTTGCCAAAAATGACAACGGAAGTTAAAAAATCTTTAAAAGAATGTAACAATCTTATTACTCCTTCACTGAGAAAAAAATTACAATTGTCAAATCTAGTAATACCTAAATTATATTGTTTACAAAAAATACATAAACCAGGAAAATCTGTAAGACCAATTGTCTCAGCGATAGGATCCCCAACTTATAATTTGTCAAAATGGTTAACAAACTGGATGCAGAAACATGCGAATATGAGAAACTCTCACACCACTGGCAGGTTGATTCGTGCCCATATATGCCGTGCCGCAGACCGCGGCGATAGCTCAGTGGGTAAAGCTTTTATCCGCGCGGGTTCGAATCCCGCCTGTGGCAACTGGCACCTGTCACAGGGTTTGGTTGTGTGTCCTACGTCTTTTTCATGTGTATTCTCCCTCTGCACAGTTGTAGTAACTCTTAGAGGGAGAATATCAATTCCTGTGGTGTGATTTATTATTATTATATGTATATATTTTCGAGCGTCTAAATAATCCGCACGTTTCTCCATCTAGTGTGAGTCCAGGCAAAAGAGTAGACACGGAGAAAATAATGTTCTAAAAATTACAGTAATGGTGGTAAAACGGACTTATTACAAAACTTAAATCGATGAGACTTTGTAAAGTTCCTTTTAAACGAAATTATTTTGCTACAATCTACGAGGTGTGCAAATTAAGTAATGAGACTTAAGTAAAATGATTTTTAAAATTTTGTTTTACTCGAATAGAAATACAATTCGGGATTTTCTCCTTCAAAATAACTTCCTTGGGAAGCCACACAGTGCTAAAGACGGTTCTTCCATTCCTCATAGCAGTACTGAAACTTATATACTGGAATAGCCTTCAGCTGGTCGATTACAGCCGTTTGAATGTTTTCTATGGGTCCAAAATGACGTCTCTTGAGGTGATTTTTCAATTTCAGGAAGAGAAAAAAGTCACAAGGACTCAAGTCAATAAGGAGGCTGAGGAGTCACAGAAATGTTTTGCTGGCTAAAAATTATTTTACTAAAATGGCTATGTGACAAGGCGCATTGTCGTGATCAAGCAACATCCAGTTGTTTTTGATATTTGGTCTCACATGCATGACCCCTTTTCGAGGTTTTTCAAGAACCTCTTTGTAAAAGTGTTGATTTACTGTTTGGCCTGAAGGCCCAAACTCTTTATGGACAATTTCCTGGCTATCAAAAAAGCAAATCAGCATGCATTTGATCTTCGATTTGCTCATTCTTGCTTTTCTGGGTCTTGGAGAGCTTGAAGTGTGCCATTCCATGCTCTGACGCTTGGTTTCCGGGTCGTACTCAAACACCCAAGTGTCACCACCAGCAATGACACGTTCTATAAAATGGGGATCATTTTCAATCGATTCCAAAAAGTCAAGATACCTTTCTCTCCTGATGTCATTTTGTTCCTGCGAAAGTTTTTTTTTGGAACCATTTTTGGGCAGATTTTACTCAACCCCAATTCGTTAGTCAAAATCTGACGAACAGTGGTGTGATTCAAATTTAACTCTTCCCCGATCACTCTTTCCGTCAACCGTCGATCTGAACTCACAAGGTCCCGTATTCTATCGACATTTTCATCGGTTCTTGAAGATGAGGCCTTCCGCTGCGTGGTTCATCTTCAATCGACTCTCTTCCTTCTGAGAATGCCTTAAATCACCGAAAAACCAGGGCTCTTGAAAAAACACTGTCTCCGTAGGCGTGTTGAAGTTTTGCAAAAGTATCCGTTGCGCTGTGTCCAAGTCTGAAGCAAAACCTGATAGCACACAGTTCCGTCTCCACAGTGTTGCTAGATGGGGCGCTACGTTGCCAGTCTCATTACTTAATTTACACGTCTCGTACATATAAACAATATACACAAATTTTAAGTGCCAAAAATTTTTTTTTAAATCAGTTCTTATTTTAGCACAGGGTCACACGAACCTTAGATTGTATTGTTTATAAAACAAAGTTGTTTTTTTTTAATTCTGTTTACACTGTCTTATAATTTAATTGTCACGCCTCGTATGTTAAAAGCAAATATTATTTCCTTCGAGATATATGTATTAAAAGACGTATTTCCTTAAATTGGGAGCAGTAAGTTTCCCAGCGACCCGAATAAACATTCTACCTCAACCTATCGCGCTTACTCTTAATTGTATATACTGGTATTCCCGCTACGCGTCAATAGTTACACTTTTTGCCCGATGAATCAAATTAGCCTTTTGTTTGTCAAAGATGGCCGCGTATGGGGCCGTCGTCGTTCCTCGTACGATAACCACGTCTCGTGTTTCCGACTTCGCAAACAACTAACTCGTTCTAAGTGATTTGTTTCGGTCAAGTTGGCCACGCAAACAGGCCAACGCCAACTTTAAAATGTTTACCGCAAACCGAGCGGCAACACAAATAGAAACCTCAACGAAAACTGTACAGAAGAAGGTCCTCGGACGTCACCAAGGGACGATTGGGTATTCGGTGATTGTTTCACTCTTTCAGTAGTTACGTAATTAGTGGCGAAGAACGAAAGTTACATCCGTCCGTTGTAGACCTACAACGTTATACCTGTAGATCTACATTGTCCGTTGATAAAGGGTTTTCCAATAAGGGCGGGTCGATGTGGAAATGGAATAAAACAAGCTGTGTGTGAGGTTCAGCAAATAATTTTTTTTAACACCCATGTATTCCATTATGTATGGAATATGACGTCTTTCAAATGTCCGCCTTGGCTTCTCACGGTGGCAGGGATGCGACAGGTTCAATTTTCAATGACTTTGCCGCATAGATCCGACCTAATTTTGGCGATGGCCTGGGTTATGTTCACTTTGACGGCATCAGTCGATTGTGGCTTATTGGCATACACCTGCGACTTCAGAAAACCCCACAAGAAAAAGTCTAGCGGGGTTAAATCGCAAGATATTGGCGGCCAATTCACGTCACCTCCGCTAGAGATAACCATACCCTCAAATCCTTCATGCAGAATGTCCATCGTGGCGTTCGCTGTGTGGCACATAGCGCAGTCCTGCTGAAACCACATGTCGTCCACGTCCATATCGTTCAATTTGGGCCAAAATAAATTGGTTATCATTGATCTGTACCGGTCGCCGTTGACAGTGATGGCCTCACCAACATCGTTTTCGAAAAAGTACGGACCAATGACGCCGCCGGTAACAAATAAGTACCAAACAGTAACTTTTTGTGGATGCAGTGCTACTGGGTGAACTTCGTGCGGGTTGGCGTCGTCTCATATACGGCAATTTTGCTTGTTAACATAGCCATTCATCCAAAAATGCGCCTCGTCACTAAAGATGATTTTTCGACCAAAATTGGGGTCCTCTTCCAAATGCTCCGAAGCCCAGTCATCGAACAACCGGCGTTGTCTATGGTCATTAACTTTGAGCTCCTGGGTCAGTTGGATCTTGTACGGTTGCAGGCCCGACGCAAAATTCGTCAAGTTGAAGTCTGCGAAAGGCTGAGTTCTTGTGCACGGAGAGAAATTGACTGTCTCGGGTTCTCCTGCACACTTACACGGACAGCGGCGATGTTCTCGACCAATCTGGCGTTCCTTTGACGTAGTGGTGGTGTTGGAAGATTGTTTGCCGAACCGGTCATCTCGATTTGACCACCAAACGTTGAAGAATCAATTTTGAAGGGCCATTGCGTCTGCCGTAAAATGGGCGCAACGCGCGAAACGTTTTGACGAACGAACACTTATTTTGATAATAAAGTTTTATCATTTGAACGTGCTGCTCAATCGCGTAACTTGCCATGGTGATATGGCAGCAGTGGCTGAATAATAAACATAATATTTTACAGACGCCGCCAAAACAACATGGCCACCACAGCCTGTCAACATCGGCCCGTCCCTATTGGAAAATTCTTTAGAATGTACTACCAAGGGCAGCACTGGCGGTTTCTTCATAGAAGCTGCAAAACCACGTTTTTTAAGAAAACAGCCGTGTTTCATTAATATTATTATTAGATCCCGTGGGTTAATAATAGATTCCAGGACCGGTCTTAACGCGACTGGAATACTATTATTTGTCTATGTTTAACAATGGGATGAGGTCACAAATATAGTGCTGGCCACTCGAACTTACACATAGAGACTTTTAGGCAAAATTTAAAGTTAAAAATTTTTGACAGGAATGCAAATTTTTGAACGCGGCTTGCAAATTTTAAGAGCTAGTTTTTTTCGGATTAAGCTGTATGACGTATATTTATCGTAGGACCATAGGTTTATTATATACGGGGTGATCAATGAAGTCATGCAAAAAATCAAAAAGTTTGTATGAGTGAAATTTCCGCAAAAAAATGTTTTTTGGTCGTTGCAATATGGTTCGTTACTAAGGTAATATCAATATCTCTAGACGTTTTTGTCAGTTTTTGGATTAAGGCCCTTAGGCTTTGTACACACTATCAACATAAAATTAGGGTATCAAAATTTTTAAAATGCTATAACTTGATATTGGATTGACGGTTCTTGATGATTTTTGCGGATTTGGAATCTTTATTTCACGTAGATTTTCTCTGGTCTAAGCATTTTATTTGAGGGTTGAAATTTACACATTATACCGGGTCGATAATAAACAAAAACGTAGGGTACGACGCGCTCTAAGGTTTGGCATTATTTAAGTTTTTGTAATAATAAATTCTCACCTCAAGTTGTTTTTATTTAACTTTCTTCTCACTGTTCTGTCCGAAACTCACACCCCAGTTTGTTGTCTCAAAGAATCATTCAGTTTTAGAGTTCTTTGTCCACCCCCATGCCCATAATTATGATTGGGTATAATTTCTATGCGACGCGTCAATTTCAAAGTAGGCATTGGAAAAACAAATTTGTTGCTATGGAATTAACATTTAATTAACATTAATTAATTAACATTTTTCCATTGATATTGCTTTCAATGCTTTCAATGATCTCGTCCTTTTAACACGCTGTTGCCAACAATAACCTAATTTCATTGCAAACTCCTAAAATTCCCATCTTTGACGTAGTGGGTTGAAAACAAAAATTAATGGACAGACAATTTATGTTTTTCAAGTTATTTTATTTTATTTATTAAAAATTACCAATACCAATTACCACTAGGTATCCCTATACATACATACTTAATCTTTGTTATTACAGTACACTGTGGTTTTTTAGGGATTGCAGGAACTTTAAAATTAGGTTTCGAATTATAATTTTTTTTAAGAATTGACTTTTGGCCGTTGTTAACCAATCTTGTATATTGTAGAATATAATGTAATAAACGTGTTCTTGTCGCTACGTTTTTGTTTATTATCGACCCGGTATAATGTGTAAATTTCAGCCCTCAAATAAAATGCATAGACCAGAGAAAATTTACGTGAAATAAAGATC